TTTTTTTTTTTTTTTTTTTTTTTTTTTTTTTTTTTTTTTTTTTTTCTTAGGACCATTTTTGAGTCTTATCCTGTTTCTGGCAGCCTCCAATCCACTGCGGTTGGGCCCACTTTTCCACTTGCCTCTGGACACATGTCAAAATTGTATTACTTCGGGTCATCGGGTTACCCGAATCAAATGAGTGGACATGGTAGTGCGTCTTAATTTTTAAATCATGCCTTTTTTTTTTATTATTATTTCTTTTCAAATATTATATACTTTACACATAAAAAAAAGTTTAATTGAAAGTTTTGTTTAAGAGGTTTAGAAATTAGATATGTAAATAAATAATATTTATATTTGTTCCTACCGTTATTTTCAACCAATTTTATTACTAATTTTAAATGATCAATTGTGGTTGGTTATTCTATTTTTATTAACAAAACCAATAAAAAAAAAACTTTTAACTAATTTATTTTTTATTCATTAAAAATATATTATAAATAATATGCCTTATACAACCATTCATTTTAATAATTTTCTTTTAATAAATGAATTTAATAAAATTATATAATCTTTTACCCATAAATAATTATTAAAGTAATAAACTAAAAAAATAATTAAGTATATATATATATATATATATATATATATATATATATTATATTTCAAAAATCAAATATAATTTACTTATTTTAACTTATTATCCATTTCTGCCTCATTTATATATTGGAAGAAAATGATTAATAGTTAAAAATATTTTTTAAAAAATAAATAAAATAACAAATTATGATACCACAAATAACTGAATAAAAGAAGTTACAATATATATATATATATTGAAAACAAATTAACAAAAGGAAATAAAAGGAAAAGAAAACCAGAATAAAAATTTGGAAAGAAGCTGAGAGAAATAATAAAAAGAAACAAAATAACAGTAATAAAAGAAAAAGGAAAATAAAAAAATGACTTTAGAGCTTTAGATTGGGTGACAGCATTCAACCATCCCTACATACCGATATAGACTTAGTTGATTCATGTCATCATATTTGATCCTAAACGAGGCTCAAGGACCCAGGAAACATAAACACATAGGTTAAGGCTCACTAATAAGTCATACATATTTTCTAGGACACACAACATCTAGTCCATAAAATAAATTAGGGCATAAGGAGGTATTCCAACTTCGTAATATGCTTCTAGGGGTATAAATGGTATTAAATTACAAAATCATACATATCAATACAAACTACATGCACGGTAAATCATAGTATGTCATAGTCCTATCAAAACATTAAATTAATCAAAGGCAAATTATATATAGGAGAAGTTATATAACGTGCGTTCTAGCTAAACCGATCAAAATTCATAATTTCAGGCTCTACTATCTATTTTCGTACTCAATTCATTCATAAATCATATTAACAGTCCATATGCCCGAGTTTTAATTGATTTCTACGAGTATTTCTTGCTAAAAACGATTTAAATGATTACTTACATGGTCGCCAAATTTACCATGTCCATCGAACTTGTCAAAAATCTAAATTTCTCAAAATTCATCAAATATGTATTAAATTAATTGAGAATAAAACAGGTGAAAACAAATCAAAGAATAAACTAGGAGAGGCTTAAAAATCATTAAAAGGAGGAGGATGTCAAAACTAACCATTGACTTTGACTGCTAGCCATTGACCATACTTTCAAGGTTGCGTCATTGTTGCTGCATGTTGCCATTTGACATCGTCGATGACGCCATCGTATCATATCGTCCATGTCATCATCGTCATTGTTGTTCTTTCGTTTTAGATGTTTAGTTACTTGTTTCAAGTTACTTCGTTCAACAAACTTGTAGATTTACAATCCAAGAATACAATGGAGAATCGAGGAATGTATGGTCAATCAAAGTTGTGGAAAAACTAAAACTATACCTTTCAGTTTTCGTGTTTTCGAATATCTTCTCATCCAAATAAGCCCACGACTCAATTATAGAAGTTTTAGATTTCTTTGAGGTGCATTTACGACATCAAAAATCATCAAAATTTGTTATAGGGAAAAGTTTATGTTCTAAAACTCATAGTTTGTAAACAAAAACATATTCGGTTTTCAATAAAGTTATTATTGATTTTTATTCAGTAAAGATTGTTATTGAATAAAGTGAATATTACGATCATTAATCTAAATCCAATAAACTAAGAACACTTTAGCTATAATATGATTACTTGAACTATATGTAGAGACATAAGAGTAGATCAAGTTCAAGTATATAGTCAAAATGATCTATAGTATAGAGATAAGGTTGAGTACCTTATTCTGGGGACGCAATGTGTGAATGTTTGATTAATCCACCACATCTAAATGGTGTGAAAGTTATTTTATTTATAATCAAATGAATTACAAGGATATAGAAATAGTAATAAATGGAAATAACAATAAATGGAAAGATACCTATGATAATAAGGCAAATATTAGATATTTGCCTTATAATAAAATATCAAATATAATATATATGGTAAACTATAATTTATTACTAAATATCCTTAACACAATGGATGCGGCCCACTTTTGTATATGATATAAACAATGTGATCACTAAATTGTACATGTGGAGACATGTGAGTGGGGGCGTCCTATGTAATGAGTATTGCATAAGATCAGACCATGAAAAAAACCACTCTTACTTTATATTGTCGTTTACTGTTGAGATTGATTTTTTCATTCGATGACCTAGGTAACTCGATCTTAATCCTGAGCTAACTATAAACTTCTGTTTATTCGAAATTATCCTTAGATTTGCATGGGTGAGAGTGCCCTGAGTTCGCCGACTCAATAAGCCTCCCATTTTAGGGGTAAGATTGGGTGAATAGCTGGGGACACATAGAATTTAAGATGAAATTCACTCCTACCCGCTTTTAGGGATAGTAGCGAGGTTGTTACCTTAAGTACTGACTCCAAGTCTTGAACAAAGGGTCTCACTCTCTCATTGGCCCAAGAGGGATTCGGCTTAGTGGTTGGACCACAAACTAATTGTTCATTAGAGGATCAGTGGGACTCAAGGAACAAAAAGTAACTTTAGTGGTAAAACGATAAATTGACCCAGCTCTAGTTACGAACAACCTGTAAAGGATTGACTTACTAATTATGGTTATATCAAATGGACATAAATATATCTATAGTGAGGGGAGTGCAACTACTAGGCTATAGTAGAGTGTCATAGTAGTTAATGAATGTTAGTTAACAAGGTTAATGAGTTTAGCCGGTTAATCTCGGATCGTTGGAGCCCATGATCTGTAGGTCCATTAGGTCCCTCTGCTAGCTCATATTAGACTAAACCTTAGAACAGTGTGACGAGTGAGTTCGAAGTGTTCGAATTCAAATTAGAGAATATATGCTAAATATATACGATATATTTAACGGCATTTTATTTTAATTATGAATTAAACAAAAAGAGAGAATTGAAGATATTTAAATAAGATTTAAATATTTTAATTATGAATAGAAATTCATAATCAATGAATATAGGGCTCCAATTGAAATGTTAAATATTAATTAAATTGTTTAATTAATTATTTAATATTATTTTGATTTGAAATTAATTGTTGAATTAAAATAAAGAAAGTCAAAATGTTGACTTCACCTAATGGAAAAACACATGTTTGAGTTAGTGGAATATTGAGTGTCAATATATGGTTTAACCAAGATTGAAGGTTTGCCACGTAATCCCATAAATTTGTGTGGAATTTTGAGTGTCAAAATTTGGTAATCTCAAATTTGCATGAACATACCAAATATGACTCTATAAATGATGTGATCAAGGTAGATGGAAAGTGGGGTTGAAAAACTTTGAGAAAATCTCTCAAAACTCTCTCTTTACATTTATTAAATTCCTATAAAGTTTAGTCACTCACTGGATTCCACAATCCCGTTCTAAGATAGGAGAATAGTAGGGAAGACACTAGTGGTGGTTCGGAACCGTTCGTGAGGAAAAAAGAATTTGAACTACAAAATATTAGTTTTCAAACTCATTGAGTTTTAATGTTTTTGAACATGCTAGCTAATCTACTTTTAAGTAATTTAATTTTATGAATGGTTTTGTTTGAACTCTTATATGGCTTTTTTTAATGAAAAAAAAAAAAAAACATTATCATTATATTCACAACAATCACCTCAATCATGTGTTGGAGCGAAACTAAAATCAAAATTTTTATTGCATTAAACAAATTTAATATCTACAAAAGTGCCAATCGAGCTATCGTCTCACTTACCCTCCTAACCGCCAATTTCTCTCACGAAACTATAAACGGCGTCTATGTTCCGACTCCCACCAGCCGCCGTTGTCGACCGCTGATGAATTCTCCGACACTGACCTAACTTTTCTAACATCGCCGACCACTATTCTGTCGCCTCCGTTATCTATAAGATAGATTTTGTCTACATCATCAGAATAGACATCGACGACCTTTCCCGACGGCGAATTCCACTCAGCCGCCAGCACTGACGTCCGGCTCCGGCAACGCGTATCCCAAAGCTTAAGTGACACGTTCGACGAGACGCTCTCTCCGGCGGCCACCACCATTCTCCCCGGCGATAAAGCCGCCACTTGCAACGGAGCTCCGTCGCTAAGAATGGAGCAGATCTCCGCCTCTTCATTCTCATCGTACAACGAAATCACACTCCCACTTAACTTCTCAAACTCGCATTTAAATTTCACATCAACCCATTGCCTCACTACGCTCCGTTCCGACCCAAAACACGGCCACGACCACGGAACCGAATCTCCATCGCTTCCGCCGCCGTACCGTCGCCGGAGACGAGAACAACGAGCCGTCCCTTTGACTCGAAAATCCGACCCGTCGTCCGGTTCCCGGTCCGCCTCTTTCTCATTTGCCGATTCCAAGCTTGAAAGCAGGGAAGATCTGAGATTCTCCGAAACTAAACCAGCGGTCTCCCCGCCGTGGAGAGATCGGGAGAGAGGTTCGGAAATGGGAGTGGTTCGACTTCTCCGACGAATGACAATGATTAAAATCTTGAGCCGATTGATTATGCCACTAAAAGTGGCCAACAAAGTTATAAGAACAGCACCCCATTTCCAAAAATGTGGGGATGGGGAAAAGGAAGTGAAAATTCGAAGCAAGCCCAGATCTGAGCCTAATTCAGCAATCCTGTTCAGCACAGGAACTTCCATTGTTCTTGATTACTGGAAGAGAAAAAGAAAAACAGAGTAATTTTTCTGGGGTGCCAAACAGATTTAGTAGAGGGGAAGTAGAACATACGCAGGGATAGGCGGAGTTTATAAAGGGCGAATATGAAAGATAAATGTAAGATTTGAATGGGGACGTGGCGGGTCCTGATTGGGGAGTTGGAATATTTATTTTAATCCACGTCACCAATAGGTGGATGGAAACAAAAAGATTGGGACTGCTGAGTCAGCTTGGGAGAGTAAGAAATTCAATCTGAAACGACAAGGAAGTATTTATTTTATTTATTTTTTAGTTTGGTTTATTAAATCCACTAATTGGTCACACGGTCAGCATGAAAAATGGGCGTGCCATTTTGTGGTGGGAAGATGGGTGACGGTTGCGCCATTAGGACGGTGACACGCGTCGTAGTTTGAGTGGCTGTTTCTGGGATTTCTGAAGTGAGTGGGGGGAGGTTAGAGTCCAAATTTGTGCGATTTGCCAATGGTGGTGGGCCTTAGGGTTTTGTTTGTGATGTGTACCTTCTGTGTGGGTAAGAATATGCGGTTCAGAATATCCTTGCCCGCTTGTCTCTGACTGGCCGGTGGTTTTCAAGATTACGGTAGCTATGTAGAAACTAAAAATTTGGATTCATCCAGTAAACTCAACCCAAACAATGTTGTTGGTCATGCATGGTGGCTCGTAAAAATATTTGATATCTAAATTTTATGAGATTTTAGTTATTAATATAAGATATACGGTACATAAATAGATTTTTTTAAAATAATTAAAAAAATAAAAATAAAAATAAATGGACAATCTACTCTAGAATTGAGATGTGAACATGTTGGTGGGCCTCCAAGTTTTGTTTTGGGATAGATACCTTTTGTGTTGTAAGAATATGCGGTTAAGAATATCCTTTCCAACTTGTTTGTGACGGCTGGTGGCTTTAACCTGGTTAAATTTAACTTATTGAGGTATTTTAAATAACGTAATTTTTTTAAAAAAATAAAATTATTATTGGACACAATTTAATTTAATGTTGGATTCAGATAATCTTAATTTTAAACAAAAAAAAAATTAAAACATGAAACAAATAAAAATGGTCTTAAACTTAAACGGTAATAATATAGTTTGGGGTGATTAAAATTTGATAATGTTTTGAAAACATTTTAAAACTATTTTAATACATTAAAATAATAATAATAAAGACTTTGGTCTTATAGAACTCAAAAGCTTTCCTAATATTTATATTTACCAATATTGTCCTCACCTTCAATTAGTATTATGGTTGAACCTATGGACAAAAAGGTAAATTAGAATTATAAACATTTTTTTTTTATTATTTCGGGAAATAAATTAAAAATATGCAATTGTTGGGGGTGAGTCTGAACCTCAATGTCCCTTGCTTAATAAATAAAATAAGTTTATGATTTTAATTATTAACTTAGTTAATAATTTAATATGGTTAGAATCGTAATGATTTGTAATACAATCATACAATTGTGACCAACAACTTCAATCATATTAATTAATTATTAGGTATAAGTTTGGTGATCGTTATGTGATTAATTAATTATTAACTTAAAGTGGTCGGAGATTAGGTAGCTTAATCTACCACTATGATTAAATAAATTATAAAAGTATAGAGTTTTTAAAATTTTGATTTAAATATTTATATTTTTTTGTACGCACATACCACTTTTGTAATCTCTCGGCTTTGCTGGATATGCACACTTTTGTACACAAGTGGTATCAATTTTATATGCATCGACCCTAAACTAAATGCTAATGTAGGTAGTGACCTCAAAAGAGTTATAAAGAGAAATAAACACGAAAATATATATTTTTTTACATGCCTATATGAATCATACATATACACGAGATCCTACAAGTATAAAACATTAATTTTAATACACATTTTCGTCGTTCGTAAGAATATCATAAATTCTTTATGTAAAATCATAGCTATCATTCGTCTCTTTATATAATATTTTCTTTGTTATATATACATCATTTGAAATTATAGCTTTATATATAACATACAACAACTAATTCGTTCGACCAAACACATCGTGAACAGTAAAATCACTTACATTAGTTGCAAGTTGCTCCATGCTAAAGTAAGTTTTAAAGAAATTAATAAATCGAATACATAATGAGATGAACTCTTGGATTCAAAACGATAATTGCTTAAATGAGGATTAATTGCTTAAACTCAAATCATCCAAAACTAAGTTTCAACCTTAAAACTTGATTAAACACTTAATTGTAACATGAAAAACGTAAGAACAATCGTTACTAATGAAAACTTACCCATTTAGCGAATTGCAATAATTTTAAACTTATGTTAGTTAAGAAACACTTTGGATTTAACCTAGCGAGGTAACATATCACCAACCATTATCACTTCACACATGTATAATCCTTAAAACTCATGAAATTCTACTAGAAAGACAGTTCAAATCGAATAGAGAACATTAAACCTGACTTAAATTGGACACAAATAGGGATAAACTGGTTTGAAATAGTGAGAAAGACAGTTGGATCAAGCTAAACAGAAGAAAACCGCTATAAACTAGGCTGGAAATTTACTAAACAATAAAAAAATTTGGTTGAATCGAGTTGAGCCAAATCAAAAGCAACCCTAATTGATCTAAAAGAGGTTGAATTGGACCGAAAATCGTTAGTACTTTTGGAACATTAAGACAACCTTAATTAAATGAAAATGATATGTTTAGTTTAATTTAATGTCACGCTTACATATTATAGTATAATGTTTGGATTGGAAGAAATTATAAAACATTAATATAAGTTGAATAAATAAAAGTTATGGTTTGAGAGTATAGATTGTATTGAAGTTAGAGAGGTGGCAAAGTAGAGTGGTGGTAAAAGGACCCTCCATTCCCTTCTTCTTCTCTAACTACAACCCTCCCGCCCATCTCTTCCATGTAATCACACCCATTTGTTGCCTGTAAAACTTTCGCAAATATAAGCTTCTTAACGAACAAAAGTCGAAAGTACATCAACCTTCGTACCTGCATTATCTCAATCTCATCAGTCTCGGAGCTGTTGTTGAAGTCATAGTAGCGACTAGCAACGGAGAGCTTCATTGAGAGGAACTTGAAAAAAGAAGAAAACGAAGAATACGAGTAGCTTGGATTAACATAATGTTCGAGATTCATGTAATGATATCGTATTTAATCGAAGGTTATAAACACTTCTTTCCCGAGTTTTACATATAAATTATTTATTTTATTATATTGGGTTCGGAAAATAATTTTTATTTTTTAAATTTAAGTTTAAACTTTAAAAACTGATAATTTAAACTTACCTCTATTTGATTCTGCAGAGATTGGATGTAGTTTATGATCACATCTAACATGACTGCCATTCCCATTGTCTGAAAAAAAAAAAATATTTTTTTTTCTTAAAAAAAAAGTAAAAAAAAAAAATATATATATTTTATGTTAGTTGTTGGATTACCTTGTAGCATCCTGGAACCAAGTCCTGTAAGAATCTCAGCCTCTGGTTTATTTTCTGTCTTCTTACCTATATTTGCAATTAATTAATCTTCAATTAATTTTCCTAAATATAAAACATTGGTTGTTTATAATAAAACATTAAACAACCATTGGTTTAACTGAATAACTAAATGAAATAGATAGACCCTTCTCTTCGTCTAGGTCAACGGATCTTCTCCATTGAACGATCCCCTGTATGGATGATACACATTCCGGTTCAACGAGCTAATTCTAATTGTTTTGTTCTGAAGCAAACTATGGGGCAGTTTGTCCTATTTGGATATTCACGACCAACAAATACTGGATTCCTTTTCGGGTAGACCTTGCAGGAGAAGGAAGGCTGGAATGTCAACAGGTGTCTATTATTGAATTCACCCGACCTCATAGTACGCCATTTTTTGAACGTCCAATGCCAAAGTCACGAGGACTATGTAATGTACTTTATTTGTTACGGGTGGGCATTTTACTAGAGGTTTCTATTGTATCAATCTACCATTTTTTAATTCATGTTGAAGCATATACTTGGGTCCGTAGAGATCGAAAAGAACACAAATGATGAAAACACTCTACCGGGTAATCCACACGAAAGGTGTTACAATTTGGGATTATTTCGAAAAGGGGTTAAGTGAAATAGACATGCTCATAAAGATGAAGACTATTGACGACACTAGAACAAAAAATAGCTTACCCTTTCCGCTAAGCTGTGACTATCGGTAGCTTGGCCTCGTTTTGCTCTCACATGAATCACTCCTTTAGGCTTCTCCTCATCCCGTTCATTTTCCCTTTTCCTCTTTCTTCCTCCCGAGCTCTGCTCAATTCCAAACCAAAGTCTTAAAAACTGAGAATATTTGTTAAAACCACCATACCATAGGTGTGAAGTTCTATGTTTATAATCATTTAGAGAATCAAATAAAAGAGCAACAAATGAAAAGATATCTATGGTAAGCTGAAAACAAATATCTAATATAGTACTAAATATCTTTAACAAAAACCATTTATTTGCGTTCAAAATCTATCCTAGAATAAAAAAAAAGCCTCGTTCTTACCTTGGAACCTTCTGTGTTAAATGCAGGAAACGAAGAGTAATTTGCAGGCGCGGAGGAGCAAAGAGCAGTAGCTGGGGCAACACAGCTCGGGATTTCATTAAAATGATCAAACTTTTCAAAACAAAAGGTGTCAGTGAAAAAAGGGTTAGCCGAGCTCATAATTGTTCCTTGATAATGATCACTTTCATTCGAGCTCTCGACTGTGAAATGGTTACTTATCATCTCTAAATCATTGTAACCCATGGCTCTACCAAAACAAGCTTTATAAAGGGTTTGTTTATGCAAAGGAAGAAGCCGCCATTGGTGACCTTTCATAGACCTCACAACCAAAGCTTTCGTTTATGGAAATGTACTCTTTTTTTGATTTGGATGGTTGGTTGGTTGAGATTGAAGTGTAATGAAACCCTTTGATGTGAATGCACGGTCTTTGATTGAAGGATGGGTTCATATTCATGGTACATTCATCAACTAATAATGTAACCTTATTCTTGGAAATGAAATGAGCGATGTCGATATCAGTTACCGAACGTCGTTTTGTTTTTCTTGATTCCCTCGTTGTAAAAGAAGTAATGAAAGGAGAACCCTAGTTGTCGGCTCGTTGGTAAAGCGAGAGTTGTATGCTAGTTTCTAATTTATAACCTTAGTTCTTTGGTTCGATCAACCCGACCAACTCGGAACAAAGGGTTACAACTCAATCCCACTTTATTTTTAAAAGGATTAAGAATATTTAACTTTGTAACCGATGTTAATGATGTGTTGTGACTTGTAAATATTTGACGTTTGAACTTTTATGTAATTTTAGTTATTAATGTAACCTGTAGGATGGATACGTAGAATTTTGTAAATAATTAGAAAAAAAAACAATCTCACAACCTAACCTAACATAGCCCAAAAAATAAAGGGTTTTATTTAGGTTGTTCAAGTGACCAAGTCAACCATCTCGATATTTTGGGTTGGTCAAAAAGATTTTTTTCAATGCATCTCAACTCAATCCGATACATGTAACCCTCTCCGTTTTTCCACTCAAAGATAAAACGCGCATTAAAATCTTCTACCCATCATGGGTAAAGATTCAAATTTCTTTTGTAGGAAATCTTACAACCCTATACTTTTGTGTACAAATTTGACTAAATTTTACCCACTTTTGGAACTCTAAATCAAACCCATTTGTCAAAATTGTAGTAATAAATAAATAAAATTACCCATTTTTCAGCCTAAGAGAGAATTGATATTACAATTATTATTAGAAAAGATAGTAAAAAAAAGATGAAACAAGTGTGCATGGGGTTGCTCAAATGATCTTAGATATACAAGCGTGTTAGCAAAACATAGACTAGAAGGCACATATCATTAATAAAATACTATCAATGAGGACAAACACCCAACATTATGGACCTTCAATTCTTTTGCCTTCAATTACCTCATGCCTAATTTTTATATGTGGTTAACAATTTTTTGTGCAAAAGTTAGAGCATGCTAGCTTTTTGGTAGTACAAGAATTCAAGTTGGAATAACTATTTTTGTTTATTATCGAGTATGTTAGCTCTCTTCCTATGAGATTCTATATCGATTGGAGAGAGAAACGAGTGTCAGGGAGAATGCTCGTTGGGTTCTAAAGAGGGGTGGATTGTGAGATTCTACATCGATTGGAGAGAGGAATCAGCGTCAATGAGGATGTTGGGTTCTGAAGGGGGTGGATTGTGAGATCTCATATCGGTTAGGGAGGAAAACGAAACATTTTTATAAGGGTGTGAAAACCTCTCCCTAGCATATGTGTTTTAAAAAACTTGAGGGGAAGGGGAAAACCCAAAAAGAACAATATCTGCTAGCGGTGAACTTGGGTTGTTACACTTCCCGTATCACGTGACAAAAACTGTTGAATTAGGCATGAACGATTTGGATCAATTCGTTTCTAAGAACTATATTAAGATAAGACACACAACCTTATTCATATGATACAGTCGAAAGTCACTCGAACTACAGTCATAAAGGGTTAGCGCTCGAACTACAGTCATAAAGGATTAGCGAGTGATGTGCTCTTATTGGGGATAAAAGGTTGATGAATTGGTGCTTAAAACTCATGAATTTCCTTTACTAAACAACATTGTTAGCAGATTGAGAGAGCATTTTTTTTTGGAGCATATAAACAACATTCTTAGCTAATTTGATCTAATTGATTCTGAAATTATTGTAATTTGAGCAGAGGGAGATGAAAGAGAGATAGTGAAGGACTGAAGTGTACAAACAAATTTGCTTTTCATAGGTTAGTTTGTTGTTTAGGTTAGTAGCTGGGTAAGTGAGAAGATTAGAGATAGATCACTTCTCAACACTCAAAATACAACAAGTTTATGAGTTAATATAAGAAGATTAATTTTGTGTGATTTGTTTTAGAAAAATTATTACTTCAATCTTTCACTAGGTGAAATGTAAGATTCGAGTCTCGAAATTAAATACCCAATATTTTTTTTTTCTAAGTTTTAACTTTTAGACTTTAAGTTTAGAATCTAAATTTTGCGATTAAATTGAAAAAAATATATATATATATATATATATATATATATATATATATATATATATAGATATATATATACACATACATATACATAAGAAAATAATAAAAAATTAGAAAATTTGGTCAAGGTCAACCTTAAAAGGGTATTAGGGGTTTTCATAAGAAAAAAAAACGAAAAAGAAGAAAGACAAGGATGTGGAATTTGGGCCCAAAAAGTGATTCTTTATCTAATATTTATTTCTCATACAAAAAAGTGTGATATAATCGTAGAATACGACATATGAAGTATTTTAGTTATATAATTAATATATTAAATGATATGATTGATTGTAACAAATTTATCAATCAATATTCGGTTATTACTTATTAACTTAAATTTGAATTCTTATTCATTTGTTTCAAACCATTATCTTATTCGTATATTGGTTCGATTCACTTTTTTAGTAGTAATTCTCGTTAGAGTATTATAGGAGTTCGATGTACCACCTCCAATTATTAAATTAAAATAGGAATCTTCAAAATCGATGGGACTTTTACATGCATTTTTAATACTGAAGTAACTTTAAAAAACACGTTCTTAGGGAGCTTAACTCGTCCAACTCACCTCTAAAAACACTTTGAAAGTTGATCCCAACTCATCTTGTATTATCTTCTAAATTTGATGCCCAAATCAATAACACAAATCCAACAATATCGTCACTAATTTTATTGATTAGTATCCATTATCCAATACCTATTCAAAAGAAGTATTTAGCAAACTCGAGTTCATATGACATGAGATTAACCTGCAGGATTATCAAACTTATAGATTGTAAGGAGCAAGTCTCAAACCTGGCCTACTAAATAGAATAACCTCCAAAGCCCCTAATATTTCCTACCAAAGCAAGGCACTTTCAGAATGAAGAACCAGATGAAGCTGAAGACTAACTGATTAAGGCTATTTGGAGATGTAAAACAGGTGTGTTTAGAATGCCACAACATCTATATTAACGTGAGTGGTGGACAAATGTAAAGTTGGTACGTATACGATCGTTAAAGTGATAACTTTACCAGCTAAAACACCTTTCTTTCTTTTTTTTTTCCTCTACTTTTTTCATTGCATTTCTTTCTCTTTTCAACTCACTTGCTGCTCTTATAGCTATCTCTCAGCGTGACTGTCCGATTGAATACGAGTTTCTCAGGAGTTGAGTCGTTATCAACCGCAAAATACCCTGACAAAGTGTAGAAAATAGAAAGATTTGAAAGTCAAAACAGAAGCACAACACGAAAAAATCAATAAGGAAAATTCTCTTAAGCAGCCTATCCAATTCTCCCCGTGTCTCTTACGAGGATTAGGATTACATATTATATCCAGAGGTCTCCACTGTTATATGTATAGGAAAAGAAAATGCAAGCAAGCAAGAACTTTTCCTGCAAGAATCATCAATATTAAAGATTTCCCTGAACCCGCCTGATTCCTAAAATTTAAAATTTAAAAAAAAAAATGTGGGGGGACAAGGTACATGTAGCGCTACCATCCCTACAATTTGGAGCTAGGTTATCTGCAAACAAGCAACAGAAGTTTCGAACTATGTTCTTTGGAAATCTACTTTTGCCGAGAATGTGCGGAGGCATAGTTTCCTACCGTCTTTTGAGATGGCATGGTTCTCTAATCAAGGATTGTAGGGTTATGACAAAGGACTTCCTCCAGCATTCTTCATTTTGAGAATACTGGAAACCTTTGAGGCAGGCCAGCTTCTTATTTATTTACTTTTTTCCTTTTTAATCGTACGTTCTTGGCTTGAGGATAGAAGAGTAGGAGGTTTTATTAGTAGGATTCTTTAAAGAGATATGAAAATTTTCGCACTTCAATACCTCCTTTGGTTTTCTCCAAATAGAGTTTTTTGAGTTGCCTTTGGCCAATATTTTCTGCTTGATCTTTCTTTTTGTTCTTTCATCATTCTTAATAGAACTCTCGCACAAATTTAAAATAATAAATAAAAGAACAATAATGAAAATATAAAAAAATAAATAATTATTCAACTAAAGCATAAACCATATTTGAGCAGTCAAAAAACTTACCAAGCCTTTCAAATTGGAATGTGTCCCCAACAATAGCATTCCTAAGTTCTGGTACAGCATATGCACTTGGGATGACTACTTTAGAATGTGGGTTCAAATCAGCAAGCCAATCATCAAGTTCAGCAGGGTTCTGATATCGAAAAACCCCCAAAATTAGAAATAAAAATACAAAAAATGCATGGAAACAAACACGCATGGAGAAAAGCCATAGGCAATTCCAACCTCAGAAAGGAATAGCTTGTCAAACAATCTAACTTCTACATTGAGTGGATTAACTCCTGGGGAAGGTTGTGCAACCCAATGTAGGACCCCCTGCATAAAAAGATAGGTCGAAAACATGATTACTACACTGCAAGCTTTAAAGAACATCTAAAACTCTACAATAAAAAACTTTGGCCTAACAAAAGAAACCTTTGGCTTTGATTTCTTGGAAGCATCATATTCGGCTCGAATCTCAAGTACAGTTTCCTTATCATCCGCAAGGATAACATCCGTACATTTAATAGGATATGCATACCTGAAACCAAAGAAGAAAATTATCATTTTCTGGCATGTGTTTGTATGCAAATATAATGGCAAAACAAAATAGCAAGCATTAAATACCTCAGAAGGACAGACTTTCCAGGTGCAAGACCATAGTAATCTTTTGAATCTTTCAACCGGAAATCTGATTGTTCTATGTACACAATATTGGAAAAGGGAACCTAATGCAATAACAGAACGATAAAAGTTGAGATATTAACTGAAAATAAAGTTGAGTTATCCACAATGAAAGAAATGAAAATTACAAGAAATCGAACATAATTATTGATAAGGTTCACATTTTAGGGATTGCCTTAGTATGATTGATAAAAAATGCTTCTTAGTAAGCTGAAATAGCGCCAATTTTAAAAT